CTGACCCCAAGTCAGAAATACTCATGACATGATATTCATGGGCCCTATGTGACCTTCTGTTCTATGAACTTTAGTACAGTGTAATACAGAAGGAGGATTATCATCTAAAGAGTTCAGAAAAACTTGGGAATATCTCTTCCTTCTCTTAATAGTCGCAGCACTATATTAAAATCATCCCCCTGGAACTCATCATCCCGTATCATCTGGGCAAATTGCTGAGTTCCATCTCTGCCCTCCCTTCCATAAAACAGCAAGCACCCTGAGGACAGAGATAATATCACCTCCAATTCATTTTGGTATCCTCCCAAAACAAAGCTTTCCAATTGGTTTGCCACAAATGGGTTATGGCTATGAGCAAAATATCACTTCTCTTTAGTACCCCGGGGCAACAGGAGAGGCCTAGGGCTGCCAGAGCCCAATGCCATGGTCTCCTCCATCAGTGAAAAGCCTTGTTTACTTCAGCAAGCCATACAAATATTTTATCTGAGTGCTGCGGTCTGAAAAAAGAAGTCAAATAATACTGCCTAAAATATCAAGTGTTACAGGTATGCTATGTTCACGACATCAAGAGTAGGGCCACACACCCTGGGATAGTGTTTACAGTTAAAGCTCTTTTGGTTTTCCAGTAACCAATTTGGTCTATGACCTACTTTTAGCTCCTAAAAGCAAGTTTATAACTTCTGGGACTATACCTCTGAGCCCCATCACACAAAGAGCTGGCCCCTAATGCGTTCTGAGAGTCTGTGTAAATGCAGTCTGTGGCTCACAGACAATTTGTGTGTCTGTGACAGAATTAGGCCATATATGAAGTCTCTCCTTCTGCCACAAACTTGGACTTTGGAAATATAATCTATTCAGACTCCTGAAAGGATTTAAAGTCTCTCCCACCTACACCCCCCATCAAGCAAGGGGTTTCTGGTACTTATGATTTTGGGCAACTTCAGGCCAATAAACTCACTACACATGGTGTCCTGCTCATCCAGGTGACCACTCAAGATGTGTGCCCCTTCTGACCTTCTACTCTCTCCCATCATCTCTTCTTCACACCATTCCACATTTGATCAATCCTTCTCACTATGTGCTCAGGTCATTTCTGTTTTACAGCCCTTCATTTCCTTATACCACATAGATCTTGAGGTGAGTTTCTCTATTATTCTGAACTTCAGTCCCCTGTGTATAAAAGTCAACTAGGCAGCTTTATACAGATGTCCCACAGACATCCAAAGTTCATCATGTCACAAACCAAAATCTTTCCTCCAAAATCTTCCCTCATCCTATGTCTTCTATTCCAATGAATGAGAACACTACCAATCCTGCTGCTCAAGGTAAAAACATTTGGCGTTCTCGCTCTTGCTCTCACACACTACATAAGTATTCCACCACCAAGACCTGCCAATTTGCCTCCAAGTACCAAATCTGTCAACTCTTCCCCATCCTTACACTGTTACTTCTTTAGCCAAACTGTTCCCATTTGATCCCTAGATCACTGCATTTATCCCTGACCTGACATTACTGCTTCTGGTTTTGCTCCACTTCAACTCATTTTTGATGAGCTAAAGAATGATCTTTTAGGGACAAAGTTTCTAAGCACAGCCTCTTTTTCAGTGAGAGCCTGAGGGGTTACCATAGAATAAAGTCCCAACTCTTCAGCATGGCTGCAAAAGACCTCCATGGCCTGGCCCAGATCAGCGGTGGACACTGCATGCTCCTTGAATGATTCCCTGGCCACACTGAAAAGCTCTGGGCTGACCTCTAGGTCTTTGCACAGACTGCCACAGCCTCTCTCTTCTTTACCCAACTCACTCCTACTTATCCCTTCAGGCTTCCACATAGAGGTCACTTAATGCAGGAAACCTTTAATGATCCCCCAATTCAAGATGAATTACATGCTTCTCTGTGCTCCTTTCACACACTACAATTACCCTGATCAAAGTTTTAATAATTACCTTGTAATTATTTCTCTCTCAACCGCTAGATTCTAAGGCTTAGACTGTATGCCAAATATAGGCAGAAACTATTTGATTTATTCACTGTTACGCCAAAGTCAACCAGCACATAATATGTCTTCAAAAAAATTTAGTGATCTGGAAAATCCCCAAATATGTGGAGATTAAACAACATACTTCTAAATAACGCATGATTCAAAGAAGAAATCTCAAGAGAATTAAAAAAATATTTTTAAATAAATGAAAATACATTTTATCAAAATTTGTAGGATGTAGTGAAAGCAGTGGTTAGAGGGAAATTTATAGCATTGAATGCATATATTAAAAAGAAGAAAGATCTAAAATGTATCATCTAAGTTTCTACTTTAGGAAACCATAAAAAAAACAGCAAATTAAATCTAATGAAAGGTGAAGAAAAGAAATAAGAATTGGAGCAGAGATCACTGAAATTGAAAACAGGAAATCAATAGAGAAAATCAATGAAACCAAAAGCTGTTTCTTTAAAAAGATCAGGAAAATTGATAAGCCTCTAGCCAAGCTAACGAAAAAAAAAAGAGAGAGAACAGATTACTAATATCAGGAATGAAATAAGTAAATCACTAAATATCACATGAAGATTAAAAGAATAAGAAAAAATAACATGAATAACTCTATGCCCACAAAATGGAAAACCTAGATGAAGTGGAACAATTCCTTGAAAGATATAATCTGCAAAACCTCACAAAAAGATTCTGAAACTAGTACGAAGAGGCAAAAGACCCAGAATGGCCAACACAACACTGAAAAAAAAGAACAAAGTTAGAGGACTGACCCTGCCCAACTTCAACACTTACCATAAAGCTACAGTAATCAAGACAGTGTGGTATTCACAAAAGAATAGACAAACCAATGGAACAAAAAAGAGCCCCGAAATAGAACCACATAAATATAGTTAACCGATCTTTGACAAAGGAGCAAAGGTAATACCATGGATCAAAGACAGTCTTTTCAACAAATGGTGCTGGAATGACTGGATGACCACGTGTAAAAAGAAATTAATCTAGACACAGACATTGTCCCCTTCACAAAAATCAATTCAAAATGGATCACATACCTAAATGTAAAGTGCAAAACTATAAAATTCCTAAAAGATAACGTAGGAGAAAACCTAAATCATGTTGAGCATGGTGATGCCTTTTCAGATACAACACCAAAGGCATGATCCATGAAAGAAATCATTGATAATTGGATTGCATTAAAATTAAAAACTTCTGGGGCCAGCCCCTTGGCCAAGTGGTTAAGTCCACGTGCTCTGCTTTGGCGGCCCAGGGTTCCACAGTTCGGATCCTGGGTGCAGACATGGCACTGCTCATCAAGCCATGCTGAGGTGGTGTCCCACATGCCACAACCAGAAGGACCTAGAACTATAATATACAACTCTGTACTGGGGGCTTGGGGAGAAGGAGAAGAAGAAAAGAAAAAAGAAGATTGGCAACAGACGTTAGCTCAGGTGCCAATCTTTAAAAAAAAAAAAAAATTAAAAACTTTTGCTTTGCAAAAGACAATGTGAGGAAAATGAGAAGGTAAGTCACAGACTGGGGGAAATATTTCCAAATCACACATCTGATAAAGGCCTGTCCTCTAAAATATACAAAAAACTCTTAAAACTCAACAAAAAGAACCCAAACAACCCCACCAAAAAATGAACCAAAGAGATTAACAGACCCCCACAAAATAAGATATACAGATGGCAAATAAACACATGAAAAGATGCTCCACATCATATGTCATCAGGGAAATGCAAATTAAAACAACAATGAGATCTTACTACACACCAATTAGAATGGCCAAAATCCAGAACACTGACAACAACAAATGATGGTGAGGATATAGAGCAACAGGAACTCCCATTCTATGCTGGTGGAAATGCAATACGGTACAGCCACTTTGGAAGACATTTTGGCAGTTTCTACAAAACTAACTCTTAGCATGAAATCCAGAAATCATGCCCCTTGGTATTTACTCAAAAATCTGAAAATTTATGTCCACAGCAAAATTTTGACATGAATGTTTATAGCAGCTTTATTCACAATCGCCAAAACTTGGAAGCAACCAAGATGTCCTTCAGTAGGTGAATATGGATAAATAAACTGTGGTTACCTCCAGATAATGGAAAATTATTCAGTACTAAAAAGAAATGAGCTATCAAGTCACGAAAAGACATGGAGAAACCTTAAGTGCATATTACCAAGTGAAAGAAGCCTATCTGAAAAGGCTGCATACTCTTTGATTACAGCTATATGACATTCTGGAAAAGGCAAAACTATAGAGACAGTAAAAAGATCAGTGGTTGCCAAGGGTTGGGAGGGAGAGATGAATGTGTGGAGCACAGAGGATTTTTAGGGAAAACACTCTGTATGATACTATAATGATGGCTATATGTCATTATACATTTGTCCAACCTATAAAATGTAAACCATAGACTTTGGTGATTATGATGTGTCAATGTAGGTTCATGGATTGTAACAAAGATACCTCTCTGGTGGGGTATGTTGATAATGGGGGAGGTTATGCATGTGTGGGAGTAGAGGGTATATGGGAAATCTGTGTACCTTCCTCTCAATTTTGCTGTGAACCTAAAATTGCTCTTAGAAAGTCTTAAAAACATATTAGTATTAAAAACTTTCTCAGAGCCATTAATAAATGCCAATTTTCTTAGTTAATAAGCTTATGACTTAATTTTTCTCTTATGAGTAAGATGTTACCTGAATATTAAATCTGGTGTTTTACTTATCTAACAGACTAGTAAGAGATAATTTATTAATTACATCATTAAGATAAACTATTAATTAAATTAAGAGATAACTTATTAATTATCCTTCCATTAAGATTTTTAAGTAGGAGAAAAATGATTAATTGAAAATAAAAGAGGAAAAGACACAAAACAAAAACGTTTGGTTTAACGAGGACACGGGCTCCTAAGAGATAGCTTGTCTAAGCCTATAAACACTTTTGAGTAAACTCAGAAGCTGTCACTAGATTCTTTTGGGTTTTTTTATTGATGTCACAATAGTTAAAAACATGGAATGCCTCATGAATTTGCATGTCATCCTTGCTCGGGGGCCATGCTAATCTTCTCTGTATCGTTCCAATTTTAGTATACGTGCAGCTGAAGTGAGCACTGTCACCAGATTCTTTAGTGTACATTTTACTACATCACAAAATACATGTAACACACTTTCCCAGGAATGGAACCCTGTCATCAGCTACTTATATACAAATATAGTACATTAAAGTACAAAGGAATTAGAGCTTGAAGTCCTCATTTATCATTTAGAAAGATCTAAAAGTCAAACAGTTTATGCAGGGTTAGTACTTATTTGATATTACACTTAAATAAACCTGCCTTGGTTTCCTATTGAAGGCATAGTGTTTAAATTTTTTAGGAGTATATTGCAAGGCTGGAACTTGACCAGTTTTGTAACACAAAATCACTTTTGTGTCAAATTAGTCATGCGATAGTTATGACATGGAGAAACAGCAAAGTCCCTAAATACTTTATTTTATAAATCTTCCTATTTCAAAATGAGAATTTGAAAAATCCAAAATTCAAAATCTAGGAATACTGTAAAATAAAATTCATATTCAAGATATAATTTAAATGGAAAATAAAAATAAATACATTTTTATTGATAAACAACTGGGATTTATAAATATTCTACAGTGAAAAAAGCCAAATTAACTCAAGGGCTAATTTTCAAAACCATGAGGAAATTTTCACATAATCTACTTAGATAAACTGGATTCAAAATAAACTACAAATTATTTCCAGGTAATTAATTCTAAAAGCTATTTTTTCTCTTGTGATATTCTTATTTTTTATATCTTTTTTTATCTTCAAGTTGTAACAGTATCTGTATATATTATAAAAGCAATCAAAATTTGAATTCCTAAGGGAACAATTAAGTAAAAATTACTGCCTTTGCTCAAAGAAGATATAGTAAGGTAGAGAAATTCCAAAATCTAAATGATAGAATGCTGTTTGCAACATACTGTAATTTTAATGATTATCTAGGTTAGGGTCAATTACAGAAAAAATTCCATTTTAGGACACTAAACTCCCATAACAAAGCACCTCGTAGTAACTGAGTTGGAACCTTATAGTTCTAACATATTGTGTGCTTGTACTTGTCAAACCAACATTATTTTTGAATGTCCTAACATGGCTCCAGAGAGTATAAAAACTGTTAAAGGAAGAAGCTGAGAGATAAAGCTGGAATGATATAGATGCAAATACAATGGCACATGCATCTAAATATTTGAAGAGCTTAGTAAAAAGCAGTAGTAGGCATTTCTATTTATCTTAGAGAGAAACACAAGTGGCAGAGAGGGGAGAGCAGACTCTATGGAATACAGCAGATGCCTGACATGCCACTCTAAATTGGACAGGGGTTGCTTCATGAACGGTGAATACATTGCCCTTGGAAATGACCATAATGAAAGGATGCTTCATTTGCTTGAAGTGATAAAATAGAGACTGATTCTCTATCTCTCATGAATGCTAAGAAAATACATTGCATACTCATACTTATCTCTTGCTGTGTTAACAAAACCCCGTAAAACTTACTTGCTTAGAACAACCAGGTACTATTACTGCTCATATTTCTATGAGTTGACTGGGCTCAGATGGGTAGTTCTCATGTGGTGTGACACATGCAGTTACAATCAGTGTTTGGGGCTGGGGTCCACTAGCTCCATGTCCAAGATGGCTTATTTAATCACGTCTGGTGTCTCAGAAAGTATGGTTGAAATAGCTAATCGAGCCCCTTTCTCTCTTTCTCTATATGGTGAGCGTCCTCACAGCACAGTGGTCTCAGGATCATCAAGCCTGAGATGTTGTACATGGTGACTGATTTCCCCCAGGGAGAGTGTTCAAGAGACACTTCAGAAATTGCAGTCCTTTTCATGACCTAGTCTCAGAAGTCAGGCGTGATCAACTCAACTACATTCCCTTGGTCACACAGAGTTAACCCAGATCCCGTGCAGGAGTGACTACACTAGGGTGTGAATACTGGGAGACATGGTTCTTTGAGGGATTTATCTTTGGTGGCTATCTACTACATACACTTTGCATGTAATGTTTCCTAATTTTTGCATAGGAAGAGACTGGCTAAAATAAATTATAAAACGTGACGTCCTATGGTTCTTTGGGAAGATATGAATGAAATGGAAAAAAAATATTTAGCTATCCCTCTGTATTTTCAGACACAGAGTTAAACATCAAAATTGTGGATATTTGAAGAATAATGAGACTGTGATAATAACAGAGCAGCTACTTGTATTTCTCCAGACCCGGGGCTTTCAATCAATCTGCCACAACTTTGACTACACTGTGAAGTATCCCAGAGACTTGACAACGTGGTTATCGGTGACCAAACATCATCATATGGGAAAGAAGTAAAACTGTGGGCTTGCGTTGTCATAGCCAAATATAATGATGGTGGAGTAGGTCCGTGACCCCGAGAGACAGGGTGGAGTGCCGCACGCCCGTTTGCTAAGTTACCCTACCGTCTTTGAAGCTCAGCACCAACTTAATCGTTCTTTTAAGATCACTAAATTTCCCAGGAACTCTAATTATGTACTAATTTGCTGCTATAAGCACCCTAGTTTTAAAACTAATCTTTTAAAAACATACTTAAAATACAAGCAAAAAGAAATAATTTTGAATCGTATATGTCATTTTCTCTACAGTTGTAAGAAAGTTATTAGATTTTATATAGGGCAATTTAAAATTAGGAAACATACATAAAAATACCTAATACAATGCCTAGCACATAGTAGGGTTCCTAAATATCTTAATTAGTATGTAGATACGTGCACATAAACACATATGCACGCATAAAAACCAACGATTTTTCTAGGAAGAAGAACTATTACTGGATTTTGTTGTCTATTGTTAGAGCCATATTTTAATAACTTGATAATCCAAAAATCTTTGAAATAATACCTAATCTTATGGATACTACTAGAAATAAATGAATGCTTTGGTATACTTTATGCCATGCATGAGCTTCTACAAATAACATAGCATTTTCTCTAGAAGACACGTTCAGAAAATGCCGTAAGAATGCTAAGACTACTAACCTCTTGCTTTATGCTTCAGTAAAGCCATCTACAATCTTGTATCAACATTTTAATTAATAGCGTTATCAAAGATAACCCCAAAGATCTAATATTATAGATTTAAAAGATCCTCGTGTTATAGATATATTATGTGTGGGTCCAATACTATAAACCTAATACTCCAGATCTTTAAAAAATCAATTTAATAATGACTTTTAGAATTACCTTTCTAACTCATTTTGAGTGAGGATATTCATGATCTTTTTAATTTTCATTTTTTAATCTCTTCTTTGTGACACTATTGTTTACCTCTCCTTGAGTCTATCTCTTCTTACATTTTCCTCCTATTCTTTTACATTTTATACCATACTGGTTCCTTTTTTTCTCCCCTACAATCTCATTGTGACATAGAATCAGTCTCAGACTTTAGCCTTGAGTCCTTCCCCAAAAAGGAATGAATCTTGAGGGGGGAGCCGGGGTAGAATAAACTAGTTGAAAGTAAAGAGCCAAAATAAAAACAATTGAGAGTGGCAAAGACGACATTCTAAGTAACTCAGAGAAGTTAATGTGGGAAGTATGCTAGGAGTCATTGAGGGCCTACAGATAATACAACTTGATTCATAGAGGTTAAGTGAGGTGTTTAGAGTACCGATGTCTTATTTCTAAACTCAAGCGTTTTCTCTATAATATGGTGAAACTCTTCATTCTAAAAACAGGAAATTTTAAATGTAAATTTTTTAGTAAATAAAATCCAACGCTTTGAATTATTTTGGCTCATAAAATTACCTCATAAATTACCTAAATGCAAATTATAAACATTAACATATAGTTAAATATAACACTGTGACACTTTATTAGCTTTCAAGTAGTATATACGATCTGATGTTCCAAAGTTAGCAATTTAGAATCAAGTGAAATAAGATGATCCTTTTTCCTGAGTATAAAAACAATGTGATCTAACGTATGAAATCCTTGAAACCAGATTCTCTCATCTTTCTTGTCATCCTTTATTCCTACCCACTACCCCCAACACGCATGTATTGAATAAATTTCCGATGAGAACAGATGAAAGAATTAAGTAAATGCATGAGCAGTTCATAAGCCTTTTCTTCTACTACTAAGCCCCTACTATCTGGTCCATGATAAGAAGTAGAAAAAATTTTGAAAAACAGAAAACTATTGAAAAAGGTGAGAAAATGGTATATATACTAATCCACTATTCTTTTGCCATTATCAGTTAAAAGAAGCTGAACTTAAGGCAAGTTCCCTTTTGATTACCTATAATTTTATTTCATCTTGTGCCTCCTCTTGTTTTCCAAATTTAAGCTCCTTTTTGACATTACTTCAACTTCTACAGTTCCTATACTAACCAGGTGAATATATTTCCCTAACTCATCTTTTGCTTTCTCTCATCCTTTGTAGGACAAATAAAACCAATCAAGTATTGGGTTTATCCACTGAGTATAAAATACTTAAATTTTCAAATAAAGCATTGAAATCTGTTTTGATTTTCCCCCATAGATTAAAAATGGATTACCATTTACTTGTATTCTCCCAAAAGACATATGAAATGGGAATCTTAATTGTTAACATTAAATACTGGACTTTTGATTGAAGCAATATACAAGACAACATACTCTGAAGGATTCTTCTAGTAAAAAAAACCTAAAAACTAAATAAAACATAATTTTATTGCATTATTGCATTCAACAGAAGTGAAAGAAGGCAAAAATAAGGGAAAATAGCTGAACTAACACATAGCTATAGGCAGCAAGCTGCAAACACATGCAAAAGACAGGCTGCTGTGATGGCAAATGCCAAGACGAGCATTGCAATCCGGAGACTGGCTTTAGGCCAGCCATATGATAGGGAAGCAGAATCTCAGAAACATTGCAAGAAATAAAAAGTGTACATGCAAACAATAAGGAACTATCAATAATTATCAAGGATAGCCTTAAAAGAACAAAATGTAGACTTCAGAAGTAAAAGACAAAATTCTTCATATATAGAAACACAAAAGATGGATTAAAAAACAAGATATGACATATATAAAGAGAAA